TGTAGCCTGCCACTTTGCTAATGGTCTTTATCAGCTGAAGGAGTTCCCTAGTCGGGTCACTTATATAAACTATCATATCATCTGCAAATAGTGAAAGTTTGGTTCTTCCTTTCCAATTTGTATCCCCTTGATCTCCTTCTGTTGTCTTATTGCTCTAGCTAGAACTTCAAGTACAATATTGAAGAGATATGGAGAGAGTGTACAGCGTTGTCTTGTTCCTGATTTTAGAGGAATCACATTTAGATTCTCTCCATTTAGTTTGATGTTGGCTTTTGGTTTACTGTATATTGCTTTCATTATGTTCAGGTATGTTACTATTATCCCTGATATCTCTAGGACCTTCATCAAGAAGGGGTTTTGGGTTTTGTCAGGCTTTTTCAGCATCTAGTGAGATCATCATATGGTTTTTCTTTTGCAGTTTGTTTATATGGTGGATTACATTGATAGATTTTCTTATGTTGAACCATTCCTGATTCCCTGGGATGAAGCCTACTTGATCATAGTGGATGATTTTTCTGATGTGTTCTTGGATTTGATTTGCCAGTATTTTATTGAGTATTTTTGCATGAGTGTTCATGAGGGAGATTGGTCTGTAGTTCTCTTTCTTAGTTGTGTCTTTGTGTGACTTGGGTACCAAGTTAATTGTAGCCTCATAAAAAGAGTTTGGCAATGAACCTTCTGCTTCTATTGTGTGGAACACTTTGATGAGTATTGGTATTAGCTGTTCTTTGAATTTCTGGTAGAATTCTGTGCTAAAGCCATCTGGGTCTAGACTGTTTTTGGTTGGGAGACTTTTGATGACTACTTCTATTTCATTAGGGGGTTATATGTCTGTTTAAATTGCCTATCTGTTTTTTGTTTAATTTTGGTAAGTGATATCTATCCAGAAAATTGTCCATTTCCTTTAAATTTTCAGATTTTGTGGACTACAGGTTTTCAAATTATGACCTGATGATTCTCTGATTTCCTCATTGTTCATTGTTATGTCTCCCTTTTCATTTCTTATTTTGTTAATTTGCATGTTCTCTCTCTGCCTTTTGGTTAGTTTGGATAAATGTTTGTCTATCTTTTTGATTTACTCAAAGAACCAACTCTTTGTTACATTGGTTATTTGTTTCTACTTTGTTGATTTCATCCCACAGTGATTATTTCCTTGCATCTAGTCTTCCAGGGTGAGTTTGCTTCTTTTTGTTCTAAAGATTTCTGTTGTGCTGTTAATTCTTTAGTGAAACTATTCTCCAGTTGCTTCATGTGAGCACTTGTGCTATGAAGTTCCCTCTAAGTACTGCTTTCAAAGTGTCCCAAAGCCGGACGGTGGTGGCGCACGCCTTTAATCCCAGCACTCGGGAGGCAGAGGCAGGTGGATCGCTGTGAGTTCGATGCTGGGGCTGGACCGACAGCCTCGAAAACAATACAGAGAAACCTTGTCTCGTAAAAACCAAAAAAATTTTTAAAAAGTATCAAAGTGTCCCAAAAGTTTGGGTAGGTTGTGTCTTCATTTTCATTGAATTCTAGGACATCTTTAATTTCTTTCTTTATTTCTTCCTTGACCCAGGAATGATGAAATTGCACGTTGTTCAATTTCCATGGGTTTGTAGGGTTTCTGCAGTTTGTGTTATTGAATTCTAACTTTAAAGCATGGTGGTCTGATAAGATACATGGGTTTATTCCAGCTTCTTTGTATCTGTTGCAGTTTGCTTTATTGCCAAGTATGTGTTCGATCTTAGAGAAGGTTCCATGTGGTGCTGAGAAAAAGGTATATTCTTTTGTGTTTGGATGGAATGTTCTATAGATGTCTATTAAACCCAATTGAGTCATATCTTCTGTTAGTTCCTTTGTTTCTTTAAGTTTCTGTCAGCTGGTCCTGTCTAGTGGTGAGAGTGGGGTGTTGAAGTCTGTGTGAGATTTTATGTGTGATTTGAGCTTTAGTAATGTTTCTTTTACAAACGTGGATGCCTTTGTATTTGGGGCATAGATGTTCAGAATTGAGACTTCATCCTGATGGATTTTTCCTGTGATGAATATGTAATGCCCTTCTTCATCTCTTTTGATTGATTTTAGTTTGAAGTCTAATTCATTAGCTTCTAGGATAGCTACACCATATCAATTCTATTAGCCTGTGTATTTTTATAGGCAAATTAAGACCATTAATATAGGGGGAAATTAAGAACCATTGAGTGTTAATTCTTGTTTGTTTTTGATTTGTTGTTGGTGGTGTTATTGTCTGTGGATTTACCCCGCATTTTCTTTTGACTTTTGGTAAAGTGGATTATCTATTACCCATGTTTTTGTGAGTGTAGTTGACTTCTTTAGGTTGGAGTTTTCCTTCCAGTACTTTATTTAGCTGGATTAGTGGATATGTATTGTTTAAATCTGGTTTTGTCATGGAATATCTTGTTTTCTCTATCTATAGTGATTGAAAGCTTTGCTGGGTATAGTATTCTGGGCTGGCATCAGTGGTCTCTTAGTGTTTGTAGAATATCTATCAAGGACCTTCTGGCTTTCAGATTATCCATGGAAAAGTCAGGTATGATTCTCATAGGTTTGTCTTTAAATGTTACTTGGTGTTTTTCCTTTGCTGCTCTTAATACTCTTTCTTTATTCTGTATGTTTGATATTTTAATTATTATGTACTGAGGGAATGTTTTTTTGTGGTCCACTCTATTTGGTGTCCTGTAGGCTACTTGTACTTTCATTGGCACGTCTTTCTTTGGTTGGGAAAGTTTTCTTCTATGGTTTTATTGAATATGTTTTCTGCACCTTTGAGTTGGGTTTCTTCACTTTCATCTATATCTATTATTCTTAGGTTTGGCCTTTCCACGGTATCCCATATTTTCTGGATATTTTGTGTTAGGGATTTGTTGGACTTAAGATTTTCTTTGGTGGATGAATTTATTACTCCTCGTGTATCTTCAGCGCCTGCATTTTGTTGGTTATTCTTGCATCTGTAGTTCCTGATCATGTACCCACCTTTTCTAATTCCACCTTTCCTTCAGACTGTGGGTTTTTTAATTGTCTCTATTTCAGCTTTCAAACCTTGTACTGTTTGAATTGTTTCTTACAACTTTTGGTTTGTCTTTTCTTCCCTTTGTTTAAAGGATTTTCACACTTCTTCTTTTAGGGTCTCTGCCATCTTCATGAAGTTGTTTTTAAGGTCGGTCTCTTCTGCTTCATCTGTGTTGGGATGTTCAGGTCTTGCTGGTGTAGCATCCCTAGACTCTGTTGGTGTCATATTGTTGAACGTGTTCTTATATTGTCATCTCCCCATTCCTTCTTCCAGTGGGTACAGGTGGGGTCTCTTCCTTTCCTGGTGGGTACCGGTTGAAGATTCTCTTTTGGTGGGTGCAAGCAGGTCCATTACTCTAATGGGTCTCACGGTGGGTGCATGTGGGTCTGAGGCACTCCCTCTCCTGGTGGGTGGGAGCTGGATTAGCTCACTAGACTCGTGGTTGCTTGGTGAGCCAGGAGTGAGTTGACCTGCCTGCCTTACCCAGGCCAGGAGATCCCAGAGTTGTCGTATGTAGTTTTCCTTATGTTAGTTGTAGCCTTTTTGTATTAGATAAAAAGAGGAATTGTGGTGATATGTTATTTATGATTTATTAACGCTTGACTGAGGGTAAGGAAAGCAAAATCAGCCACACTAGTTAACTATAGAAGCCAGGTAGTGGTGATACATACCTTTAATCTTACAACTTGGGTGTAGAGGTAAGTGGATCTCTGTTAGTTCAAGGCCACACTGAGCTCCACAAAATTGATCCAGTCCTAAAGAGAGACAGCTCACACAAAGATGATTTCAGCACTTGGGATCACACGCCTTTAATTCCAGCACGAGGGAGGTGTAAAAGGCAAAGGGTCTTATGTGGAGATTGATTCCCCAGTCATGCTGAGGATAGGAAGGCTTTGGTTCTCCAGCCACACTGAGGAGAGGAGGCAGTCTGAGGCTTGGTGGAAAGCTTGTGGAGACAGGATTAACCCTGTCAGCCTGAGGTAGAGGTAAGAGTAGAGGCTTGGCAGCTTTGCTTTTTCTGATTTTCAACTTGAATACCAATATCTGTCTCTGGGTCATTTAGTATTCATGTTTCATCACTGGACCTCAAGCTGGCTAGTAAGACTAGCCATGTCAGGGAGCTCTGGGTTTGACTGAGGGAGCCTTCCTCAATGAATAAGGTAAAAGAACAATGGAAGATGATTCATGAGAGCAACCTCAGACCTTTACAAGCACCCACAGAGAGTGCCTGCTCACCCCAGAGAGGCACTCCCTCCCTCACAGGGCCTCAAAGGAATGTGGAGAAAGAGAAGGAAAAGAAGGATGAGTCTGCATTCGGCCCAGCCACGTAATTATGTAGCTTTTCCTTTTAAACAGCAGTTTTAATGTCATGCAGGTATAAAAGGTAATCATCTTTATCTTCTCACTCACTATGTCCCTGCTCTCCTAATTCTGTGTCATTTTTTAATAATCTAGTAGTCTAGTCCAAGTGTGGTGGGCATGGGGCCATTTCCAAGAGCAAGGTGGACCTTCGGGGCCACTCCCTTTAAAGAAAACTGACCCCTCATTCAACTGTTCATAGCTCTTTGGTTGTGATGTCTGCTTTACAAATATAATTGAGTCTGGTGCCCTGGGCCCAATTAAGAAAAAACATGCAACAACTTCTAATGAGCTCCTTATATTTCAAAGATATTTTATACTCTACCTATTGAGAAAATGGCCTATTCCTTTCAAAGAATTATAAAAATTTCACCCAGAAATTCATAATACAATAGAATTGTGTACCAAGCAGAGGCCACATATAAAAAACATATGATAACAAAACAACTAAGTATGTAATAAAAGCCATAAAGAAATCTGTTATTTTTTAAATTAACTGAAGTTAATTTGTAAAAAAATGAGGATTTTTTACTTTTAATTCTGTAGGACTTAGAAGAGTTCTTGGTGGTTAGGATTATGAATTAGATGGAATTAGTTAAGGATGTGGCTTCCCCCACATGTCTGGTTTCTTTAGTTGTCTGCGAGACAGAAGGTTTACTGAAGGAACTGGAACAGATGCTGCAGCATGCACAGGAGCCCACAAGCACTGGTGAAGCAGGGCGAGCACAGGTCGGTATGAAGAGCTCCTGCCGGGCAGCTTCAGGGCTGCAACTGACTGTGCAGCCTGATTGTATAAGGTGCCTTTCCCCACATCTGACGTTTGAGCCATTATTTGTCATGATCCTAACAAACTAGGAGCTGTCAAGCCACCAGAAGGTGTGCTTTCCTGGGAGAAGGGTGTGTTTGAGCAGAGGGTCTTTAATTGTATGTCTTCAGGTCAGGATGGAGGATGGGAACCTCTCTGTGGCAGAGGTGGACCATTGCAGAGAGACCTTGTATTGACCATGGTGACCAAATACCTGGCAGAAATGACTAAAAGAGGTCAAGTCATCATGGCAGGGAGGTTATGGTGAGGCAGAAGCAGAGGAAAGAGAATTCAGGAAGGGGCCAGGGAAAGGTAGAGCCCTATGGACATCCTCTCAGTGACCTACTTCCTGCAGCTGGGCCCTACCTCCTGCCTGTTACTACCTCCCAATAGCACCTTTGGCTTCTGACCCGATTAGATCAACTGGGTTATGAATCTGTCATAGAACTCCTTGTTGGTTAGCTCAGAGCTCTCGTGATCAGACTGTCCCTAGACATGTCCACACTGACATACCTGCTTTCTAAATACCATTAATTCTACGGAGATTTCTTAATACAGTTGACAGTTTAAGATTAACAGCAACAGACTTTTCCCATGCGTGCGATCTTTCCAGGTATAAGTGGAGCAAATAGGATTAGGTCCCTGGGAAAGGGGAACAGTTTTGTGGGACCCCCTCCTGTCTGGTCCGTTGCTGAGACAAGTGCATGTCTTGGCTACTGAGAGGCAAAACCTCAGGGCTGATGGAGCAGGGCCAAAGCTCCTGTTTTCAACTCGTAGATTCAGAAAGCCGTATGTACTCACTCTCCAATATCTTCATAAATGTGAGAGTCTGTGATAGAAATCTCAGGCCATTTTAAAGGGCAGCATGGGATCAATCAGTGTGCTAAAAATCAGTCTCAGGGCAGACACTTCACCCTGTGATATAGTTGTTCCCTAAGTATTTAGGACATAAATAGCAGCTCGAGCTTACAAAAGGTTTCATTAATTCATTCAGATATGTAGTGTGCCCAGAGTCAGAGAGCACACCAACTGAATCTCCAGTGTAATCATTTAAATTTTCATTGCTTTATTGTTATTTATTAATAACATAGACTTAATGGAAATGCTGGTTCTTCTACTGAGGACTTGTGTCACTTGGCAGTTATTCATCTGTTCTGAGAACTATTCAAGAATTAGATAAGACATGCTGGTGTATGTGTCAAAGGTGACAATGGGCAGTGCTAGAGAAAACAAACTCTCTTGTTTCTCACTTAGAGCCTCTAATACCCCACCTGTAATAGCACTTCTCATCTCAAAGAGCTGCATTTAGAAATGGGCAGGTAGTTTATACATTCTGTCAACCTGCCAGTTTCATTTAGATCCTTAGAAAGAATGGACCTGAGCTATTTTTCCATCTGTTACTGAGATGGGGTCTCCCTTGGTAGTGTAGGTTGTCTGTGTAGTAGCGGCTAGCCTCAAACATTAATCCACCTGCCTCAGCAATAACTCCCTAATGCTGGAGTTGTAGGTGTTCAACACCATGCTCAACTAAAGATGAATCTTTAACACCTTTCTTAACTGAGTTAAAAATTAAGGAAAGCATACAGAATTTATCATCCTAGAGATTAATGTGTTAGAGGAAATGAACGTCAATGCCCACTGAGTTGGAAAACACAGGAAGCTTTCTCAGTCAGCTCCAACAGCACAGCTCTGCCTGGATCTGCAGGGTTATGAACTGACTTATAAATGTCATGTCTCCACTGCAGCTCTTTATAGATGACTTCTTCCCACACATGAGCTGCACTTGTAGAACAAGATGTATAGATTGGTGACATGGGTCTTACATATGTATAATTAAAATACAGATTACTCCTTTCTAGTAATTATGTGCTTAGTTGAACATTGCATGGTGTTATGCAATGTGTTTTGTGGTTGGTTGGTTTCTTTCTTTCTCTCACATACTCTCTCTTTCTCTTCTTTCTTTCTCAACCCTAGTAGTTTGTCTTTTCAAAAATACAACCTAACTGGTTTTTATAGTGGCATCCCAGAGCTTTTACAGCCACAGAATTGAGTCTGGCTTGTCATTAGAATTAGTAACTTGATGGAATAGAAATCACTTTTGATTTTTTTCCTTATGATAAGATACATACAGCCCCAGGCAGGCCTTCTTTTTCGTTTAGACTTGTATATTGGTCTGTGCTTTCAAAGGGTGTTTAGGAACTGCGGAAGTTAACTTATTTAGTTTATTGTCCGTCAGCACCTCCTACAGGCTGCTCACAAGTAGCTCCTGACAGACCCAGGATGCTTATGGCCTACTCACTGTTAATGAGGAGAGCAGCCATGAAAACAACCATTGAAGCCATAGCAATTTCCTCCTTAAAAGTAAAAAGAAAGAATCACACACACCACTGTCATTTTCTTCTTATTTTTTCATTGTTCCTACAAAGAATTAATATAACTTCTACTTAAATGTGTGTGTGTGTGTGTGTGTGTGTGTGTGTGTGTGTGTGTGTGTATTAGTAGGAGCCCTCTGATAAGCCAAACACACCAAAGAGAGTCAGCTGTTATTTGAAAGTCTGGACTATGCTGCCTCTGAGCAGATACTGTGTGAGCCCTTTTCAGAGGTGGAAGCTTGCTGCTTTCTTCTTGGCTGATTATTTCCCAAGCACTTGTTCAGTGATGTGGATGGGAAGAGCATACACCCACAGACAGTAAGACAGTAAAAGACTCTTTCCTATGCACTCTAGCGATGAGTTTCCTTACCTGAGCCCCTTCACAAGCACATTCTTCTTTAGCTAATATTAGCACCATTTACAGGCCCTGTCTAGCTTGACAGCAATGGAGAAATTAATCAGAGTTTTGTAAATTCATCTTATTTTAAATGGATAATTCATATGCAAATAGGAGGTTTACTATAAAATTATTAATATTAAAAGGTACATTTTGTGAACTACATGTTTATTCTTGTCTTTCCATTGCATGAGGAGCTGGTCTGGCTGTAGTGAACCTTGAAACTGAAACCCATGCTAGCATGTATGTGGGTACAGTGATTTACTGCCCTTCCCATTTAAACTACAGCAAGAATATTTTGGTAGATAATGTAGATACTTATGAAAGACTCATCACAGAATATGTGATCATATGTAGTCTATATAATATATTTTTATAAAAATAGAAAACTCAGACAGAATTTAGTGTGATCACATTGTCCTAAGCCTTAAGTTACAAATGTAAGTAAGTGACATTGGATAAAAGGGACAGAACCTAAACAACAACTTAGCCTTACAAAATTTGTTTAATAGACATCATACTACATATAGAGCTTATTACCTGCCCACCCGCAAAGAAAGCCATGTGCACCTCTCTGTTGGAGGAGAACTAAGCTCCTCAGTAACCAAGAGGGTATTCTGTAGTTATGATGTCTGTGTGGTGAGTTCTGCAGTTGTGATGACTGTGTGGTGAGTTCTGTAGTTGTGATGACTGTGTGGTGAGTTATATGGTAGTGATACTACATGGTGAGTTCTATAGTAGTGATAAACTACGTGGTGAGTTCTATAGTAGTGATAAACTACATGGTGAGTTCTATAGTAGTGATAAACTACATGGTGAGTTCTATAGTAGTGATAAACTGTGTGGTGAGTTCTGTAGTAGTGATAAACTGTGTGGTGAGTTCTGTATTGTGATGACTGTGGTGAGTTCTGTAGTAGTGATAAATTGTGTGGTGAGTTCTGCAGTTGTGATGACTGCATGGTGAGTTCTGTAGTTGTGATGAACTGCATGGTGAGTTCTGTAGTAGTGATAAACTACAAGGTGAGTTCTGTAGTAGTGATAAACTACAAGGTGAGTTCTGTAGTAGTGATGAACTGCATGGTGAGTTCTGTAGTAGTGATGAACTGTGTGGTGAGTTCTGTAGTAGTGATGACTGCATGGTGAGTTCTATAGTAGTGATGAACTGCATGGTGAGTTCTGTAGTAGTGATAAACTGCATGGTGAGTTCTATAATAGTGATAAACTGCATGGTGAGTTCTGTAGTAGTGATGACTGTGGTGAGTTCTGTAGTAGTGATGAACTGCATGGTGAGTTCTGTAGTAGTGATGAACTGTGTGGTGAGTTCTATAGTAGTGATAAACTACATGGTGAGTTCTATAGTAGTGATGAACTGCATGACTCTTTTTGCAGTTGTCTCAGTGCAGCCCGGAAACTCCCACAGGCAGTCCATTTCACAGCTACCATGAAGAGTACTGCTTTGTGACTGATGAGACAGGACTAAAAGCTGGAGAATGTATTGAGCACATAACTAACAATTTAAAAAAGATAGATGCCCTAATATCTGAATTTTAGGGTGTTATTCAAGTATTTCCAGAAGTTAATTATAAAAACACTAGCAATCTTTATATTTTCCTGTCGAACATTTAAAAATGTTTAGTGAAATAAGCATTCAAAGTTAACATTTGTTGTAAATTTATACTTTGTGAATGTTCACAGCTTTGGAGCCTATCAGGTGATATTTAAGTTAGAATATTAGGATTTTAAAAATCCTGGTGTTTGTATTTGTAGACTTTTTTTATTTGCTTTGATTTTAGAATTATTTATGAAACTTACAAACAAGTACTGTCCAATAAGTGTTTAGGCCCCTCTTCAAATGTGACTATTAAAATGGCTGTCTGTTCTGTTACCTGCCAGCGTCAGAGAGAACACAAATGTAACACATGTGAAAGGGGGTTTTGTAGTTGTCTGGAATGTTTTAAATTATAAGGAAATATTTAGAATGTAGTCATATAATAAAGTTTGAGAATAAAAGACAAAATGTCAGTTGTCTCATTGTATTGCAAACATGGTTCCCATTGGGATGTCAGAGTCCTGGACATTTCCCTGTTGACTCTGTCTCTATAAGTGAGGTAGGGAACATGTAACTGACATACAAGAAAAGTTACACTTCATTTGTATGAAATACCCAGTGGTATGGAGTAGTAAAATGTGCATCATTCCTCAAGGATCCCATGAACAGTTTCAGTGGATGTCTGTATTTGAAAAAGACAAAGCCACAGATCAACACAGAGGTGAGTGTTAACGTAGGTCCACAGAAAAGAGCTGACACAAAATTAACCTCAGAATGAGCTTTTTTAGGAGAGAGTCTCCAACCATGGCCAACTGTGAGCAGGCCTTGAGAGGGAGAGCACTGGAAAAGCAACTGCATGCTGTCACGCAGTCAGCTCTGAAAGGACAGACAGAAGGACCCTTCAGGACCAGAGGACAAAGGCTTCTGACTCTCAGATACTGAGGCAAGTAGACAAGTTTCTGTCCTGTGATTACGTCTGACCTACCCTGTGTGGCACAAATCAGGAAGGCACTGACAAACAGTAGCTGTAAGCTAACCCTGGTCTAAGAAGTGGGAGCTCAGCCTGGTAGCAGGAGGGAGACTGCAAGGCCACACACAGCACAGCCTGCCTTCTTACCAACTGTCCTCACTAGGGAGAACTGCAGGGAGGGGTGTGGCCTGACTGGCAGAGAAAAGGAAGCTGCTGGGAGAAATGGGAGTGAGAAAGTAACCTTGGTAAGTGGAGGCCGGGGCCGTGGGTGTAAAGGGAGTTCAGGATGTACAAAGCAGGCTGGGTCTGCTCAAGGAAGATGTTGGCGTCACAGCAAGGGCACCACTCTGTGCAGGAGATTCAGGAGGTCTGCAATTCAACACCCAAGCTGAGAGGAGGAATGGACTTGGAATCAGACCATTCTGAGACTGGCAGGCAAGAGGGGGCAGCAGCCAGCCAGACGTTCCTGTGCCAGCCTGTGCCCCGGTGTCTGAGGGAATCCATGGCCCTGATGTTAGCTCAGCTTGTCAGCCTCCATATCAAGAGCCTCAGGGTTGCCAGCAGGCAGCCAGCACTGGCAGGTTAGGTGTCTGCAGAAAGTCTTATTAAACTCTCAGCTGCCTGGGAACAATGCACCACGGTAACAGTTTTAAATGGCAAAGGTCTCTGCCTGTCAGTGATGTTACAGGTAGATAACTTCCATTTGTCCCCCATGAAAGCTTAATATCATTTCCGTCTGTTCAAGTCAACTTATGGCCCTCATTACTTCAAGTTTGTGGGGTGGCTAGAGCAGCCTCCTTTATGCTATCTGCTCTCAGAATCCTGTTGGTGATAGCTAATGCATTTTTAACCAACTCAAGCAACTGAAAAGTCCGGTCTGTAGTGCATCCAGACAACTGCTGTCAAGTGCCTGAGAGCAGTGGCTATGGCAGGAAACTCCCATTCTTCGGGTAGGTTCTAGAGGTGAGGGCTAGATGTGTTTCTACTTCATGACCTTCACAGGCTATAGCAAGGTCCCTGATTTGCATGTTGACAGTTACCACTTTTATATTGATTTGACATTTACTGCCAATCTGGTAGGATCACCTTGGATGTGAAGCTATGGTGACGTTTGTTTGTTTGATTTTAATGAGCCTTACTTCTGTCTGTGGTCAGTTTCAAATCTGTTTGGCATGTCTCCATTGACATTTCTAGCCTCCCTCATGTGTCTGGGAAGCAGACAGCTGCTTGGGGACCTAGAATCTTCCTAGGTGGGGAAGTCAGGGAAATTTGACTCTCCATCATGTTTCACTTTCCCTTTTGCCCCAAGCTAGCCCAGGCTCGCCCTCATGTAGAGAGCAGAGCAACCAGAACAAGAAAGAGCCTCACTGCTAGGTAGCTGGTAAGATATTAACAGGCTTGGAGGTGGATTTTGGGGGAGGGCTAGACCTCTTTCCTTCATAATTGGCAGGATGTAAAGCCAAGGACTGGAACAGCAGAGTTCTAATTGCCATCTTGGGCCTGGGAGGATATGTGACATCCTCAGCTATCCAGAGGTCATTAATAGATAACTAAACCCAGCTCTGGAGCCCCAAATTTTACAAGCTTTCCATCTAGCAGTGGACTTTCTGATTCAAGGACAAGAACATAAGATGATTTATTTTCCTGTTAGAATCAATCTAAATGGGCCTGTCAATCACCAGGACAAAGCGATGTTCCCAAGAGCTGCTTGTTCTAGAAACCTAAGAAGTAGTATAAAGCCTGCTTCAGATGTATAGCAGCACAATGGTCCCTGTGGTCATTGTCCCCTATCTTAGCTAGGGTTTCTATTGCTGTGAAGAGACACCATGACCACGGCAACTCTTATAAGGAAACCATTTAATTGGGATGACTGGCTTACAGTTTCAGAGGTTCAGTCCATTATCATCATGGTGGGGAGCATGGTGGTGTGCAGGCAGATGTGGTGTTGGCCATCAGGGAACAGGAAGTCAACTGACAGTCACACTGAGGGAAGCTTAAGCAAAAGAGACCTCAAGGTACCCACTCAGTGACATACTTCCTCCAAGAAGACCACTCCTCCTAACAGCAACACTCCCTTTAGGGCCATTTCCTTTCAGATCACCACATCCATCTTACCCCTCGAGAAGGTGTTCATGTTACTCTAATCTGTCTTCTACATATCCTCTGCATGACACCAAGTCCCGTCTTAATCATGATGAGCACAAAGATCAGGAATCTGAGAAGAGTCCAGAGGAAGATCCCAGTGACAGCATCAGACAAGGAAGGCCGCCTCTGCTCCCATCACCCCTACTGAAATCTCTTATTCGACAAGTCACAGAGCTCATAACCGTCAGATGGAGACATGCCACCAAAGAGCATGGATACAGATGCGGGTAGGCCGTCTGCCACTCTGCTCATTAAAGAAGAGAGTGTTTCAAGAGAGTGTTTCAATATGAATATGCAGCCTTATGAACAGTAGGTAAGTTGTTGTTGGTATTTGAAAAATCCTTACAAAGTTATTTTCAGGTAAATACATACTTTTAACAGCATTTATGAATTGATAGCCAAATAAAGGTCTCCATTGCCTCTTTTGGTTCTTAACTGTTAGTGTAGATATTTGCATACTATAAAATTGTCCTGCAACTCTATTTTACTAATTACCTGGTATTTCATTCCCGTTACATTCACAATGAATCACCGTCTTAGTGAAAAATTTAAATAGTTTCTAAATTTTCATAATTTATAAATCACTTTTGCACAAGAATTCATTATTCAATTCTAGTATGCATCTACACATTTGTTACTAATCTTTCTTGGAAGAGAAACTGATGGGCCGGTACCATGTACAATTTTAGAGCTATTTGTGATTTATCAGTTAAATCAGATGTGCATGGGTTCATCTGTTTCTGAGCAAAGCAATTACTTAGGAGTTGGGCAGGGTTTCTGTTGTTGTTGTTGCTAATTCCTTAAAGAATGGTCAAAATGAGCAAAAATAAGCATCAGCATAGTTCATTGAAAACTATGCTATACATGACTAGTAAGTTGGATGGTCAACAGGGATGAAATAAAATGTTAGCAGAAATGATGTGTCTCTTGCTTTAGTTCTGACATGTGTTTTCATTTTGAAGAAATATTAGAATTGGTAGAATTTTGGAATCTTTCCATTTGGGTGTAGATGGGGGAAATAGTACTTTAGAGAGTGATGTCATTCTACTGACTCCTTTGATTGAGGTGACTATGACATTTGCCTCCTGCATTATGAGCCTGATCAATGAGTGTTTTATATTAGACTCCACCTCTCCTGGGTTACATTGTTCATTTTTATGACACTGTGACATCTGTTATTCAATCCACGTACAGTTTGTTTAGTGTTTTTGTGGTTTCTATTCGTAAGGCCTAGCTTTGGGTGCTGGTCCTTTCCTTTGTTGGGGTAGGAAGGTATGACCCCTCTCCTAACTCTGGGAGCCATGGCCAACACCTCAGCAGCAAAGGAAGGCTGGCAGAAGAATAACACAAATTGTGTATTTAGTCAAAGTTTTATATCATCAAGGAGCTTTCAGAATGAAGAACCAAAAGTCCTGGGAAAACTGTCTACCATTTAGTTTAGCTGTAGTGAAGAATGCTACCATGTGGAGACATGGTTAGAAGGTGTGTGATCTAATGGTAATGGCTGCGTGGCGGGGCAGCAAGCCTCTGTACAGACACTTTCTGGCCTCTCTGAGCAGTCTTCTGGGTTTGAGGCAGGGCCTTTTCTAGCGTATAAGCCTCACAATCTACTCCAGAAAGAAGGTTTTCATGGCCAGCTTTTCCACGGAGAACAGAGGCGGCTGGGAGCATACATTTAATGCTTATAGTTGGCTTTGAGGAGAAGGCATTCAGGTCCACTCTGGGAAGAGGGACTCTGGTCTCTGCTACTTACCTGGGGAAGAATAAGAAATGAGAGATGGGTTCAGGAGGTCCGAGAAACACTTCTGGGGCTGCTTCCCAAGATCTCTAAGTCACTGCTCTATTGCTGGGAGGAGACCCCCCTGGACCAAGACAACTCACAGAAAGAAAGCGTTTAATTGGGGCCTTCTTACAGTTTTAGAGGCTTAGTTCATTATCATCATTGCAGGGAACATAGTACAGGAGCAGTAGTTGAGAACTACATCTAGATCTCAGGTGGAGGGACAGGGTGGGGGGTGAGGAGTGGGGGGGGGGCGTGGCGGACAGACAAACAGACAGACAGACAGACATTGGGCCTGGCTTGACTTTTGAAACCTCAGAGCCCACTCCAGTAACATACTTCCTCGGACAAGATTATACCTACTCTAACAAGTTCATACCTCCTAATCCTTATTGCTTCACACAGACCTTCATCTGAGAGTTTATTTCTGAGCCACAGTTTCATCCCTTGCCCAATTGCAAGTGTTTCTCAAAGTCATTTTTGATGGAGATCTTGAGGTGGGAAGACACACCTTTATTCTGGGCCACACCTCCATCTGGAAGCCTGTAGAAGGACATGGAGGCAGGAAGCTTTCCTTTTCGCCTGCTTGCCTTTACCTTGTCAGCACACTCAATCCTTCACTGGCATTGGAGCCTACTTCTTTGGGATTCCAGCTCATACAGAAGACCAACTGAAACACAGCCTTGTGGGACTGTGTCTTGGACTTCCTGTTCACAGCTAGCCGTTATTGGAATGGATGGATTGCAGCCTACAAGTCATTCCAATAAATTCCTGTACGTATGTATGTATGTATGTATGTATGTATGTATGTACATACATGAAGAGGGAGGAAGGGAGGGAGGGAGGGAGGGAGAGAGAGAAAGAGAGAGAGAGAGAGAGAGAGAGAGAGATTCATTCCATAAGTTGTATGACTCTACAGAACCCCGACTAATACAGTTTTGATCCCTCCCAGTCAGATGGTTCACTTTTATGGACTTTGTAATTTTAGAACCATTGAATAAATGAACAAATACAGTCTCTGTTGTTTAGATTATTGGAATAGCTGTCCTAATACAAACAAAGGTTGAATCTCATCAACTCAGCAGTACTTAAACCTTGAGCCATTTGCAACTTAGTTCTCCCCTGCGTGTGGTTCGTTCCTTAGCTCAGCACAGAGTGGCCAGTCTCCTTAGTGCTTCTCACCTTCTGGTGTTTATATTATGCTATATTCTATCAATTTCCTTCCACAGTGAATAGTACTGACTTTCACAAACCATTAAGATATGGAAGATATGACTAGGTAACCTCCAAGGCTTAGTCATAAAGGGCATTGTGCCTGGCTTCCACTGTATTTGCTTTTGAGTGATTCATCTGCCACAACAGTAATACATGAGCCGTTCTATATTGACAGAGCTGTAGGGGGAAACAGAGGCCTCCGGCCCTTAACCAGCATCATTTGAGAGCCACGTGGGTTTGCTTTATGAGAAGGCCATCAGCTAGCTCCAGTCAAGCCTTCATATGGCAAGCTCCCAGACTGACATATCCCATGCAAGAACCCAAAAGAGGCTAAGCCAGAATCCCTCAACACTTGCTTTCAGATTCAACACAGGAGCCCTGCTAGGTAATCAGTGTCTCTTAAGCCACTATTGTCAGGAATTCACTTGTTGTACATCAATAGGAAACTGATATGTGATAAGCTCATCTCACCAAATAGATGATACACATCTGGAGGAAAAACCCATCTTTCATTTCAGAAAATAACCTATGATACTAAGATAATATTAGTCTCAATAAATGATGCTAATATTTATATAATTAACTCCTAATCAAGCAAGAAATATTAATGGAATGCCAGCCAGCCAGTCTTCTTGGGCTATGGAGAGTAGTAAACAAAAGGACCCTGCAGAACTGTCAGTCGGGAGACGTATAGCCCAGCAGTAAAATATGGCTTCAGAAGCCGGACAACCTATATTTGATCCCCAGAACCAACACTAAAAAACCTGGATGATAGTGCGCTCTTGCAATCCCATCGGTAGGGAGGCAGAGGCAAAAGTTCCTAGAACTTGCTAACCAGGTGTCTTGGGCTGATTGTCAAGCTCCACGCTAATGAGAATGAGAGAGCCTGTCTCAAAAAAACAAGGTGGATAGCTCCTGAGAAACAACGCTAAAGGTTGGCCTCTGGCTCCCAAACTCATGCGAGCATACACAGATGTACAGACATACACAAAGGGAACAAGTAAACTCTCATGGAGAAGACAGGTGGTAATACACAAATTAGATATGGTCCAGCCCAGTGTAAATGTGAAGCAAGATGAACGAGCCAGGAGATGCTGTGTTAGGTTTGAGTGCCTTCCCTAATGACACCCGAGCTAAGAGCTATGCATATATCCATGAAATAGCATCCAAAAGCAGAGGGAGCCATATGTGCACAGCCCAGGGGCTTGGAAAGGCCTGACACAGGCAGAAGGCAGTGCCTGAGGCTGACTTCACTCAGTTCTAGACCTCACTGTTGAGGTCATTGAGTCTCTCAACTGCACCTTTGTCATTTGGGTCTCTTTGGACAGAATGCCAAATACCAGTCCACATTAAACAGATCCGTTCATGCATATTTGTCATTTTATGAAGATAAACACAGCTAATGAGCCAATATGGGCTAACGTTTGTAGTGGGAATAAAGACTTGGGCAAAGCATCACATGTAGTCTTCTGTTATTTCTGCCCCTTGCAGCTTTCTGCCTTCATTAAGTCCATTAGTACCCATTAATAAATTATTCAGTTTTGTGATAACATGGATATGTTTGAAGTGACTGACATGGCATAAAAGAATCAAACTCATTCAATATACATTTGTTAAGAAGTAAGTTGTCACACCAGCAACTAATTAGCTCTCCTAAGAGAAGAACTGGTAAAATTCTGTTTCCTGAATGTTTCTGTCATTCCATGCAAAGGCCTTGACTCTCATTACAAGTGAATTTGTTGACTGATGAGTGGTGGATCCTGCCATGATTACCGCATGAGAGTGATCACCAAAAAAAATGGCCACTCATAGACATTTGAATATTTTCATCTTACATTTCACCCCAGATAAACATCCATCAAGCCCAGTGGTATAGGCCTGTGGTTCCAGCTACAAGCAGAGGCTGTGAGACCATTATTCAAGGCCACACTTGGTAATTTGGCGAGACTTTATCTCACAACAGAAAATAGGCAAAGGGCTTGGGAAGCATCTCAGGAGTAGGGCTCTTTCTAGCAGGTTCAAAGCACTGTTGAGCACCCAATCCTGCTAAACATGTAGATAAACACATGACTAGCACAGTAAGCTTCCAGTCAGTGTCCCGGGTCATTGTGTGAGCAACACTCTTGTGCTGCGCTGCTGGCTGTGGTCGGCACACTTTCTTACACATGCGAGTTTTCTTGCATGCTTCTTCCCTTTTATGAACATTATCTTGGAAAACTGATGAACTGTTTTATTTGTGCATTACCTAAGAGAGAATGGCATGGGAAGAGTGGAATGAGGTCGAATAGAGTAAGATAATTAAAGAGAGAAATCTGGAAAGAGCCACAGATAGAAAGGTAAATAGACTTACACACACACACACACACACACACACACACACACACACACACACAGATTCTGGAGTTTGTGTGACTGTGAACTTAAATGCATGTATGCATGAGTGGGGGGATGGGGTGTGTATGTAGGAGCAACCACAAAGGTGTGACTAGAAAGTAACAAGGACAACTTTCTGACTAGGATTTATTTGTAGGAAGAGGTATCCATTATTACATTTTTAACATTTCTACTGGAAAAAACAAATACCATACTTTTTTCTTCTTCAGTAAAAATCAGTCTATTCAAATTGTAAACAAAATGTCAGAAATAACTGAAAAGGCATGCACTTAACAATAGTTCACCTGGAAACTTAACTCTTGTACATTTTATCAAAGCAAATTAAAACGTATGATGCAGTGTGGTTTATAATTACTTTTTTCTCAGCTGTAAATACTTCTATAGGTTACAAAAACAATGAGCTCTTAAAATCTGTATCCCAGTTTTTAAAATTAGCTCAGTAATGTTTGGGCAAAGGCACTTAAATATTTTTCTTTGATTATATGTTTAAATTTTGTTTGATTCATTAATTTTTTATTATGATTTTTATTTAAATTAGAAACAAGCTTGCTTCACATGTCAATCCCACCTCCTTCACCCTCCCTCCTCCCCTGCCCCCACAAGCCCACCACCCCCCACCCAATCCCTACTCTGCTCCCCAGGGAGGGTGAGGCCCTCCATGGAGGATATCCAAAGTCTATCATCTCATCCAGGGCAGGGCCCCATGTGTCCAGGCTGAGAGAGCATCCTTTTGTGTGTAATGGGCTCCCAAAGTCCATTTATATGTCAGGGATAAATACTGATAGATTTCCAAGGCCTCCTCACTGATACCCAAATTTAGGGGGTCTGGATCAGTCCCATGCTGTCCTCTCAGCCGTCAGTCTGGGGTCCATGAGCTCCACCTTGTTCAGGTCAGCTGTTTCTGTGGGTTTTACCAGCCCGGTCTTGACCCATTTCCTCATCATTCCTCCCTCACTGCAACTGGGTTCCAGGAGTTAAGTGTTTAGTTGTGGGTGTCTGTCTCTGCTTCCATCAGCCACTAATGAAGGCTCTAGGATGGCACATAAGGTAGTCATCAATCTCATCCGGGAAGGGCATTTAAGGTAGCCTCTCCTGATTCATTAATTTTTCTGGCAAAAATTTATGACTGATGCAAAAGATGATTTGAAGGTCTTGCTGTTCAGTTTAAATCAAACTCAGTGTGTATTTATGTTGACACATTTTACTTTTTATGAATAATATCTAACATCTATTAAACCTTATTAGATATGCCTGGTTCTTCCTTGAATGCTTCAGCTTGAAATAAAACATCTAGTTCTTACCACTGTCTACTGAGCTAGGCAGTTATCTGTGTTTCACCGACAAAGAAACTGACTGATAAAAAGGCTTCATCCCTCAGGGCCTAATGGCAGAGAATAAATCCAAATTCATATTGACTTCAGAAACATGTACCTAGGTCTGACAGGAGGTTTGGGACATAGGAAGGTACCAGTGCATAAGTTCATCACACAGGTCACTGATGAAATACATGGCAAGGCACAAAAGACAGAAGCCTGGGATCCATGGTGCAGGGGCTCCCCAAGGACCAGGAAAGAAGGAGAGAGCGGTTTCTTTTTAAAGATGGTTTTAGTTTTGTCTGTGTGTGTTTATGTGAATGCATTGGCCATAGAAGCCACTAGAGGGTGTCGGATCCCCTGAGGCTGAAGTTGTGAGCCAACAAGTGGATGCAGGAGACCAAACTCAGGTCCTCTGCAAGAGCAGTGAACGCTCTTAGCTGCAGAGCCATCTCCAGCAGCCGGTGCTGAGTGATTTTATGTGTCAGTTTGAGTGTCTGTGTAGTACTGAGATGTTTGGTTACCAGTATTTCTGGGTGTGTTTATAAAGAAGTTCTTTTTATATGTAGCTGTAACTTGACTATTTCATAGGCTTATCAAGGTAAGGTACAAATTGTAGCCCAGGAGATAGTAAACTATACTCTCAAAGCAAGACAAAACAAAAGCTGTTATAATTTTCTAATTTATACAGACAAATCTGGATACATGTTTGGAATGAAAGTGTGGGATAAAGGTAGGAGGAACATAATGTTGGATCAAGCTGAATGAACTGATAGGAGTTCACTAAGCAGAAATTCTGCATTTAATATAGAAACTGAAGCTAGAAAGGGCTCTAATGAAATTCACAACTGATTAAAACTTG